GGGACGCATCTTTATGAGCAGTATCTTTCGGGGTATGGGGTTGGCTGTGTTCGTTTGCCAGTGACGCCAGTCTCTTCCGACTTCGGGTTTCTGCTACCATGCTTGTGGATTTTTCCATTGGTACGGGCGTCTTCCTTCCACCTTCTTGAGCATCAAGAAGCGATTCTTCCAATTCATCTTCCCGCGAAATCGATCTTGTGATGCTGTGTAGCTCATCATTTGTCACTACTTGTGATGGTTGAAGCGAGTCCTGCGGGATGTCTTGGACGTACTGGAGTAGGTTAGCGTTATGATCTGCCTTCCGTTGCAGGTCAACTCACATGGTGCTGAATCTTGATCATGGGGCTAAGTATCTCCGCTTGTAGCCTGGCTTGTGTGTCCCCTGAGCTAGGGAACATGAACCTGGGCAAACCCTTTAGTGAAAATCCTTTGGCTTTACTTCCCGGGGTCGGCTGGAGGAGTTTGCGCTTTTTCAGCAGATCTATAATTTGGACAAGGGTATGCCCGTTGCAATCTGTGACGGGTCAGAGGGTATAGCAATATGAACTCTGAGGTACTTACGAAGCTTCTGTGTGAATAACGACGTTCTATGGGGATAACCCTCATTTAATATGATTCTCACAGCTCTCCTCAAGAGTACCAAACTACTCATCTGGTGAAGTATATGAGGTTCGTCCGGCATAAGCAAGCATGGATAGCAAGCATGAATGTCGGGGACTCTTGGGTCATGGGCATCTTCGTATCCATAGCATAACAAATGTTGGCGCGTTTGACAAAAGGCACATTGGGCCTATCAAAGTTAGTTTTGGTCTACCTATGGGTTGTCAACTTACCATGGCCTCCTCTTCGCCATCCCAGCCGCATTGGCATCTGACACTATTGTGACCCTCGGTTGTTCTCGTAGCAGTCGAGTCGTGTGAATGCAGATATTCCTGGATCCTGTGCCTGCTCTCTTCCGTAAGGACAAATTTCCGACATTTCGTCGCAGTGCCATTCTCAAACGCGGTGCCGGGTTTAAGTGGCTGTGTAGGTGCCAGATCACCATCCGAGCCTTCAGTTCCTTGCGACTATTCAAATTAGTCACTTTGCCCGTCTCAATGCTGAGCCTCATGGGCCTTCGACTTACAGGTAGCATCATTTGTAATTGGTGCTTATCCACAAGATCCTGCGTGGACACTTTTTCGTTCTCGGCTTTTTGACAAAGAGATAAGCAGAGATCAGTGTCCTGGCGTAAGCCGTTCTCCATAGATAGACTCCCACTGCCTCCCAGTGTACGCAAGATGTCCTCTTTGTCATCAAATCCAATATCTTTCGTTCTTCGTACGGGGTCGTTGAACTCAAGATCAGGAGGTATCTGAGGCAGCGGTTCTGCTCCCTCGGGCTCGGCTCTTGTCCATTTGAGCGAGGTGACTTTAAGCCCAACACTACGCCTTTTGGTTAGTTATGATTACCAAACAGGGGTGGCCACTTACGTATGCCGTCCACTGTTCATTTGTCCACAAGACTGCGATTCCCTTTTCCAGTTTTCGCTGAGAGGGAATTTGATAGTAACATCATCGGCCCCATTGAACCCCGGGGGCTCATAGTCAGGAGGGCAATCCTCCGTATAGAAAAGGTGAACCCCTAGGCTTCTTTTGTCTGGAAATATAATGAGCGGCAGTTCAGGCGAGTGTATAAAGGTACGTACTCGGTAGAGTGGGAAGAAAGGCACTAAGAGTGATCAAGCGCCGTACGATCGTCTCTAGGCCTATCCGGGCTGTCTGTGCAGTTTTCATGTCGGCCACACAGCCCATTGGTTCGAGAGACAAGCTCTCAAGGCAATTATTAACATCACCTTTCGCCCTTGTGTATCTAAAGGAGAATGTATATGATTCTAGCACATTCTCAGGCGCATCCTTATCGACCAGTATGGTCAATTGAACAGCTTCAAGCACGTTTTTGCTAAGTGCATCGAAGATGCCGGTTTCCTACACATGTAAATAGAGAAGATCATTACCAGCGATAATGAAAACTGACCAGAATATCAAGAATCATATCCGCTTTGGGATCTGATCCCCGCAGTATGATCTTCAGCGGCTGACCTTTCTTGCCTCTGCCAAATGGTACGTCTTCTTTGGAAGCGAGTTCTTCTCGGTGCGTGTGCTTGTCAATGAACTGTCGATAAGAAAGGTCGCCCTCACGTTGGGCTTCTCTCAAGTCCCGATCGTCGAAACACGGAAGCGGTAGAAACTCCCTACGCAACACATATAAGACTGACTCAGATCTAGAAATTTTTAAGCCGGCACCCAACGAACCGAAGATAAAAGAGTGTTCCAAACTATGTACCGGTATCAGAAATATGAAAGCGTATTATGGGAGTGAAAAAGCCGCATACCGAGACATGTAGCATGATCTGGACCATCTCCAGGCTCTGTAGTTGCTGCAGATGCATACTTTCTTGGAGCTTCAGTATGGCAGAAGCTTCAATCACATCTTGTGCCCTGATGCGAGCAACAGGCTTGCTGTCAGCGGCAAGGGACTGGAGATTCTGCGGAGTCTGTACCTGGACCGTCGACGGAGGCCCGGTGAACTTAATCCGAACCATGCTGGGTCGCTATATAGTGCAACTGCGCAAATGTAGGCATCCAGGAGTAGAACTATGAAAGGTGGCGGTCAGCAAATCATACTAGGAAGAATGAGGCCGGGGATTGAGGCACCGTGTGAAGAACCAAAGTCAGGTTGACGACAAACGAATACCCACGGTATGGTCACGGGAGTCGCCAGTGCGTTTGTCTCTCCATTGATACTGAATTTTGTTTACAACAGAATTGGGCAATGCACATGAATGGTGGTTCTGTATGTATGGGGGCAATAGTGCAACTACTTCATATGTCTTCTTATGTCATGCTTGGGGGAAATTTACATCTCACGTAAGGTCGTCCCCGGCTGGTTTGAAACTATATATAGAGAGGGGGTGAAGTCGGGTTGGTGTCTGAAAATTACCCGTCACTTCAATTTTGCAGATACCACATACTTCGAGAGTGGTACAACCAATAATGTTATGGCGATGAAATGGTCGGTTTGCATTCTTGAGCGGTTTCTCCTGAACAACGAACGGACAGAAGATTGTCCGAGACATCGTGTAGGGAAGATAAACATGATGCGTCAACTTGATCTGCTTGACCTTAATCGAAAGGGTATTTATACCCCTTTCATGAAGCAGTGTCCATTTGCAGGCTGGTAGTCTAAAGGACAAATTGTATTGCTATTACTCAACACCTAAGAGATGGTATATTTGGGGTAGTCGGGGCTGGTTTGGCTAGAAACCAGACACATGCCTGGCTGATAACGCTGGTCTGAAACAGTCGATAGGGCAGTCCCGCGGTAGATGAAATTACGAGCCACAACCCCCATCCCCTCATCCTGTGTGATACGCACTTATCTCTGGCATTTCCCCGCAATGTCCTCTGTCCATATTTCACACCCAGGTAGTTGCCATCCTATTTTGAGAAACTTTTTATTTATTTTATTTTATTTATTCATTTTTTCTTATATAAAAGTACTTATCTGAACAACGTCTGATGAGTAACTGATAAGGTTCAATGTGTGTACAGCATGAGTGTATCAGTAGCTTCCTGATGAGAAAATTGATATGGGGTGGTTGCTAAGTGCACTAACTGCATGGTCGGTTACCGGTAACCGAAGATTCCAGCCAGCAAGTTTACCTGTGTATGTCTATCTGTCTACCGCAAGCAGTTGAACCATCGAATCGAAAAAGACGCCGAAGGAATTCTGGACGATACAATGGACCCCACCAAGTCACGTGCATTGGACCAGTGGCGAAGCCAGCCAGGAAAACCAACGGTTACCGGGTCAAGGACTACTGGAAATTCTGCGAAAGTCTGAGGTCACATATCGAATGAAATTGCGAAGGCACGAGAAAAAAACGTAAAAAGTGAGATGTCATATGCAGTTGTTGTGCTGGAGCCATATCTGTCAAGTGTGAAGAGATCTGGGATGATGGAATCTGGCGGCGGCTATCAACCATCCACAAAGCACCAACAGCGGCTCGACAAAACGATTTTAAATTTCCTTGTTTTGGGGTTGAGAGCCTTTGAGGAATGGAGAAATAGACCAGTGGGGACAAAGCAGGCACCGTCATGTTGATACAAAGTACCCTCATACGTACGTAGTAGGATAATTATCTGGTAATAAATATTTACGTACTTTAAAAAGTGGGCAAGCAAGCAACTTGTTAGTTACTTAGTGCTGTATCCAGGCCCCTCCCGGGTAAGAATCTAATACTCACAACACCCGTCAACTCCACCATTGGATACATCGTTATAACGATCCTGGAAAGTGGTTCTCACCCCCAGGGAGAGTTGCTCCGAGCGCTGGGTGATCCCCGACTGCAGGACGGCAAATTCAGAACCCGCCTTGCCTCTAAGGTTTTTTCCTTGACCCTTTTTCATTTGTCTCCGTTGCTCCTGTTTTCTTTCTGTCCATTCCTTTTTCCTCCCATCACTACTACTATCCTTCTTCCACCGCCTGCTATCTTTCTTCCTTACACTTTCCTCTCCTCTCTCTCTGTCTCACATATGGGGAATCATCGGCCGTCAATATTTTAAATAGGATTTAGTCTTCACATTGCGGAGCCACCAGCCTCGGGAAGCCGCCAGATTGGGCTAGCCGGGAGCCACTGAGGACAGAACCGCCGGCTGCTGCGAAGAGCCTAAGCCTGACCTGAAGGAGGCACAACCAACCACCTTGTGGTTCAGCTCCCTCGATCATTCTCCGCCGCCCAACACCTCCTTGTCAGCAGAGCACGCCACAGCCTGCCCTCGTTCACTTCCCTTCACCTTCTCTACACACCGGCCTATCTTTCACACCCCGTCCAGGCCCTTATTTGTTCGGTACCCACGGTCATGTTTTAACGATCCCTCCTCCACAGCTGTGCGCATTCGGTTGCTCTTTGCGGGCGTGTATACCTGTTGGCGGTCCTCATTTGACACCGACTTCTTGCTGGACGTACGGCCGATCAACTCCATCACATAACAACAATCCCATTTTTACCACCAGCTCCTCGACACGAAACAGCCCTCCAGCAGCCATATCTGATGCGTCATAGCCAACAAGTCTGTCGAAGCTGATTCATCCTTGCCACGCCATCACGCTACTACACGCTCTTCCTAGTAACCCAACCTCGGACATACCACTGAGTCGGTCGCATATTCGTTCGGCAACCTTATCATGGAGGAAGATGGAAATGGTCGGGGCCTCGGTCCTGGGTCTCCCAGTACCTCCGTCGGTCAATTTTCCTTCGCCCCTGCTACCCGAACTACTGTTGTTACGACGACAACTACAACCACGACGACGTTCCCTCCCGTGCTCATTAGGCCGCCACGCGCGACGCAGGATCTGGATCCCAAGGTCTACCCACTGGCATCTGCCCCTACACCATCGGCGTTGCGGAACATACGATTTGAACTTGGTGGTAAATCGGTTGTGTTCAATGAACCGGAAGATACTGCGGGCACATTAAATGAGGTACGTCCTTATCACTTGCTTTTTTCGCGAGCCTTTCTACTCTCCGGCTACGTGCCTTGACTCCTGGACCTTGTATATTGACTTCTATAGTTGCACGAGAAGAATGACGCGCTCAAAACCTCGAACGGTCTTGTGCGATCTGTGGCCTCCTTCACTTCGGACGATACCCAGCTATCAAGACGTCTTGCACATAGAACCTCCAATCAACCATCTAACCACCTATCGATCTCCAAGCGTCGGCTTACGGAAGCACAACAGGGATCACTGAGGGCACGTTCCGCGCGAGTGCCGTCAGAGCCTTCGTTCCGTCCAGCTCGTTCTCATGGCTCCACGCCAGTACATCCTACCGTGGCTGGCTTAGCCACCCCGGAGACGGAAACCAATAGCAATAACGCCATGGAAGGAATATTGTCGAGAAGGAGGATCCACAGTGCGAGTAATGCTCGTAGGGAGACATTACTACGGTCTCCTTTATCCTCGGAAGTCGAGTCTCAGGGACCCTCGCAGACAGTGGACGCCAGAAAAGAGACTCTGCGTACAAATACCATCATGCAGGAACATGACAGACAATCTGGCTGCTCTAATGAGACCGGTTTTGCTAGACCTGCATTGGAAAGGACAGGGTCGGACCCTCGGGAACATCTGACCGGGATTGCTGCAAGTCAGGATTCAGGTTATGATGCACCGGGTGACAATTCTCAGAATCTGCCTACGGAGTCGTCTTCACAGCCTTTTATCGACAATATCGTTGCCCAAGATATGTGCTTGCCCAGTCCCAGCTTGTCTCCAGTGGCGGCTTTAAATGCCGCGAACATCGATTCCTCTTCCGATTCTGCTGAAGACCAAGAGGACACGGACTCCAGCTTTGATAACAGTGATTCTCGCTTTATTGGGCCTTTGCCCGTAGGGGACTCCAACGGCGAAGCGACGTATGTTGCCAAGCCCGAACAGCTTGCAGGACCCATGATGCAACGCCCCACTTCCATGATGGACATACCTAATGTGCTGGACTTCTTTGACTCGGTACCTGACAGTATGAAAACATATATGATGTACCAATTCCTGAGGCGCTGTCCGAAACAGACGCTGCACTTTGTTGCGGACGTTGTTAACCCTGCCTTGAAATGTGACTTCCTGTCCCTGCTTCCGCTTGAGCTCAGTCTTAACATCGTGAAATATTTTGACGTTCAGACCATGTGCCGCGCGGCTCAGGTGTCCAAGAAATGGAGGCATATCATCAATTCTGACGAAAAGTCCTGGAAGGAGCTTTTTGACAGGGACGGATATGTTCTTCCCGAGGGCGAGTTGGATCGTGCGATCAGGGAGGGCTGGGGATGGCAATTTCCGAATGGCTGCGAGGATTATGAGAAGGACATGAGTATGTCTCCTTTCATCAAACCAGATCCAGAATCTTCTGTTCCTGCCTTGCAATCCTTTGGTGAGTCTAGTGATAGGACTCTGTCCGTGAGTCGCCGGCCTAAAAGGAAAGCTTGCACCCGTGTGTCTAGCCGTAAACTTTCGAAGCGAAAGATCTCCTCCAGTGGCACTGACCACTCTGAGTCTTCGGACTGGAGGAAAGAGGTTTCGGCTTCGGAGGGACCTTATGCGGCGGCGAACGCTGCGGCGGCGGCCGTCCCATATCCGGACATCGGCTTGCCATCGCTTCGCGGTCTTCACCTCTACAAATCGCTATATCAGCGTCACCATTCGATCCACAGGGCTTGGATGAAACCAGTTGTCAAGCCAAGACACATCGCCTTCCGCGCCCATGATCGCCACGTTGTCACTTGTCTCCAGTTCGATACGGAGAAGGTGCTTACTGGGAGCGACGACACGAACATCAATGTTTATGACACTAGGACTGGTGAGCTCAAGGCCACTCTTGAAGGCCATGAAGGGGGTGTTTGGGCACTTGAGTATTATGGCAACACTTTGGTTTCTGGGTCTACCGACAGGTCGGTAAGAGTTTGGGACATCGAAAAGGCTCGGTGCACACAGATATTCCATGGCCACACCTCCACAGTGCGCTGCCTGCAGATTGTCTTACCGGTCGAGGTGGGAAAGAAGGCTGATGGCACACCTGAGATGATGCCAAAGGAACCGTTGATCATCACAGGCTCTCGTGACTCAAACCTTCGTGTCTGGAAACTTCCTAAACCAGGAGATCCGGGTTATTATCAGAGCGGACCTCATGTCGATGACACAGACTGCCCATACTTTGTCCGTGTCCTCACTGGGCACCAGCACTCTGTCCGGGCGATCGCAGCGCATGGTGACACGTTAGTGAGTGGAAGCTATGACTGCACCGTGCGTGTATGGAGAATATCCACAGGAGAGACTGTACATCGGCTTCAAGGTCATACTTTGAAGGTGTATAGTGTCGTTCTTGACCATAAGAGAAATCGTTGTATCAGTGGATCCATGGATAACATGGTTAAGGTGTGGTCATTGGAAACGGGTTCAATTCTGTACAATTTGGAAGGGCACACGTCCCTTGTTGGTCTGCTTGACCTCAAGTGTGACCGTCTAGTGTCGGCGGCTGCGGACTCTACGCTGAGGATCTGGGATCCTGAAACTGGGCAGTGCAGGAACATGCTGAGCGCCCACACCGGTGCAATTACTTGTTTCCAGCATGATGGCCAGAAGGTCATTTCTGGATCAGACCGGACACTGAAGATGTGGGATGTAAAAACTGGGGATTGTGTCCGAGACCTTCTCACCGACCTTAGTGGCGTGTGGCAGGTAAAGTTTAACGACCGGAGATGCGTCGCTGCAGTGCAGCGTGACAGCTTAACATACATTGAGGTAAGTTCATTTTTTCGAACATTCAATTGCCAGCTACTAAGAAACCTCAGGTCCTTGACTTTGGCGCTTCCCGCGATGGAGTACCAAGCGAACAGCTAGGAAGACGCATCGTCGTCAATAGATGGGGTCAGGAAGTCAGTGACACTGACGAAGATTACGACCTTTCGGACGCCTGAACATACTACGTCTGTCGCCTACTGCCTACTTCACTGCTTGGGCAGATGAAGAAACTTTTGTCACTTTGCGACAGGCAACACGAACGGCAATTTTCTCACGTTATATTCCCCCTTTTTCTTTTTCGCAACATATTCGAACCATGACATAACTACGATACCCCCAATCAATGCAACTATAATTACCTTTATGAGAGTTTGCATAGCGCGGTTAGCATCCCTTGACATGCTGCATCATGACGGACAGGCGTTTTGGCATTCAAAACGGACTCACCAATCAGCCTCTTGTCTAATAACTCTTCTCTCTTATCTCCTCGATCATACTACATCCGCATGCTCGATATGCATCCTTTTGTCCTCCTGTCCGCCTCTGTTTAACACGGGCGCTCCCGTCACCGAGCTTCTACATATTCCGACTACCCCGTCTCTGTTTTATATCCGAATACTATAGACTTGAAGTGGCTTTATCTGCAATCGAATACGATATGATTCTTGTATCTACAATCCAGCTATCCTATTCTTCCGTAAGCATTTCCGTGCACTTGAGGTCACAACCTTGTCGAGCGGTTTTAGCCTGGAAGCGCATGGCTCCGTCGTAAACATAGCCGAAAATGAGACTATGGGCTTTTTCCACTTTCCCCCGCCTGCCCTGGGAAGCGCGGTGTAAGGTGGCGCGGTCCTTAACAGGCCGAAAACCATGGTGCAGGCTGAGCGGCAAGGAAACCTGGGCCGGGCTCGAGGTACGAGGCCGCACATACCGCGAATTACTCCACGGGCCCAGTATTGCATCTCTAGGTCAGATGATAACTACTCAGCATGCAAAGCAGTCCCAACATCTACTAGGTAATCGCTGCAGCAACAGCGACATGAGATTAGCAGAGCCCCGTCACGCGATCTTTCTCGCAGCTAGCGAAGCTAGGCAGTCCTCTCATATCAGAGCGCAATCTCAACGAGCGTTTCAGCAGCCAGATAAGGCACTGAAACCCCTCAAAGTCCAGCCCCAGAGGACATACTCGACCCCGTCAGATCAGGTTGGCCATGGCTAGACTTCACCTCCATCATCCCATCATAGCCAGCAGCAGACAAGATAGCCCAACGAATGGGACTAATCCCCAGATAATTTCCAGGAGTCCGGAGGACCTTTGAACTGCATGTCAGAATCTCGCCCAGAGCACCGGGACCTTCGTCTCGGCCAACAGGCTGGATGATAGGACGGAGCTCCTGTATCTTCTTTTGTGTCTGGAGCAGATGTTCCTCCGTTACTCCAGTGGCAAGTTGACTCGTCCTCGCTGCCATGATATTATCAACTTTCGAGACGATGATCTGGTGCGGGATGGCGTAGTGGCGGAATAATTCGAGGATGCCTTCGTCGGAGTGCTTGATGCCGTGCTGGCCGTCGATTAGGATGAAGGTGCGGCGGAGTCTATGGAGGTAGATAATTGGTTAGCCTGCAAATCACTGTGATATGTATATGCTTAGGGTAAGATGTGCAATACTCACTGCTTCCTATTCTTCAAATACTTCATAATCTCATTCCCCCATTCCGATCGACTCCCCTTTCCGTATCCCGGCATATCGAGCAACACGACCTTAGACTCGCCGCCCTTTGTCCCTCCGATACCGAATGCGTTCATCGTCTGCGTGCGCCCTGGTTTCGACGATGTCCAGCATATCTCCTGCCCCATGAGGGCGTTCAACAATGAGCTTTTGCCGACATTCGACCGCCCTAGAAATGCTACTTCGGGAGTCGTCGAGGAAAGCGGCGTCGTGCGGAACTTGCTCAGGGTCCAGAGCTTTATTGGGGAGTGACGCGAGGGAGCGAAGAATTTGTCTGCGTAGGCGAGTTGGCTTTCATCCGGTGCTTGTGTGTCCCAGTAGTAGTTCACAGCTGTAGCGGGGATGTCTTTGAATTGTAGTTTGTTGTTGGGCTGCGGCCGCGGTTGCGGTTGCGATTGCGGAATCGGAGGTTTGCTTGTCGAATAGTTGCGAACCTTAAGGAGGCTTTGCGCTTGGGGATGGCAGAGGGGCCTTAGGGAGGGAATTCGGTTTTTCATGATGTGCTGAGGGGTCGAATTAGACGGAAGAGGTACTGTGATTGACATGTAGTATTTGGATGGATTTCTTCAAATCAAAGAGCTTCTCCAGAAATTGTCCCCGGATAAGAAAGTCTTCCGAGCTGCGGTTCGAAGATCGGGGAACCTTTGCCGAGTCTCCGCTCCAGGCCGATAAGGCAGTCCGAGAGACAGCTTCATCTATCGCTCATCATCGGTCATCATTCCACCCCTTACACGGCCACTACTTTTACGTGCTGCTCTTTTCCACCAACTGGATTGATTGCCTATCCTTACTTCATACTTAGGAGTCATTTTTCGATTTCTATCGCCCGCAGAACACGTCCAACACCGAGCTAGAATCACCCGTGCCCCGCGGACACTGCACCAAGATGATCAACGCCGTCCTCGTCTTCAACAACAATGGACAACCCCGTTTGACCAAGTTCTACACACAGATCGTGAGTCTACACTGAATCGCATCTACCCAATCAACCCACCCCTTACCCACCAGGCATCCCATACTAACACTCCAACTAAACCAGGACACCCAAACCAAACAATCCCTAATTGCGCAAATCTACAACCTCGTCTCCCAACGCCCCGCCAGCGTCTGCAATTTCCTCCCTCTCCCACCACTTCTCTCCCGCGGCGCAAGCTCCGGCGCAGAAAATGGCCCCTCCGACGCCCCCACCCAAATCACCTACCGGAACTATGCCACCTTGTCGTTCATCATGATCTCCACGTCGACTGAGTCGCCGTTGGCGCTAATCGATCTAATCCAGGTCTTCGTGGAGGCGTTGGACCGCATGTTCGAGAACGTGTGCGAGCTGGATCTGATCTTCGGGTATGAGACTATGCATGCGGTGCTGAGTGAGATGATTGTTGGGGGTGTGGTAGTGGAGACGAACATTGATAAGATTGTGTCGGCGGTCAGGGATCAGGAGGGTAATTTGGGGAAGAAGAGGGCTATTCAGGCGGCTAGTTCGGGGATTGGGAGAACGGGGTTGCCTGGGTTGGGGGCTTGGAGGTGAGGTGAGCGTGAGTTGATGGGTTGGGGTATGTTACGATTAGGTTACGATATGGGTTGCGATTATGTTTGGATCATGTTTGGTTCGGTGGATGGCTGTTGGTGTGTTATATAGATGGATAGTGTTATGGATACCTGAGCATGAGTTTGGCGTTTCTAGTGGATGTATGTTGGGAATTAGATTCATAGATGTCCTTTGACCTAATTTTATTGAGAATGTCTCGACTCTCGAGAACAGTACAACTAATAAGTTTGTTGCATGCTATGGACCCACTAAAGTAATAGAGAATCCATTGAATGGATGAGTGCGCATATCAACTGAATACTAGTAGACGACCATCATAAAAGTCTACACTGCCATCCAAATTCAGGTAAAAGACATCCAACCTGATTGGCCCATTTGGATACATCAACCACGAGGGCTAACCCTAGATCACCTGACCGAACCACCACCCAGCCCCGGCAAAGAAGATAATCCGCCCGCGGCCCACACAAGCAAACGGCGCTAATGGATTTCTTCTCAGAGCGCGAAATTAATTGAACTTCTTCTTTTCTTCTTCTTCTTGACTGTCAATCCTGCACCCAACGCCGCCGCGGATCCCGTCGACAAAATGGTAAGCACATAGAATCGTCCATTTCACGCCTCTTCTATTCAATTAGAATTGGGCCTATCGACTATACGCTGCGAAACATGTCGTGAGACGAGAATTGCTTCCGTTTCGCTTCATATCGCAACATGTCGAGAAGCGACACAAATTTCCGTTGACTCGCTTCCTTCTTCCTCTTCCTCACACAATCCGTAAAACGATTGCGAAGGAATGAGGAGGAGGTTGTGATCAGCGATGATTTTTGGCTGGAGTTTATTTACACAAAACTGCTTCCCCTCAGGAAAATCTTGGAAACTTGGTTTTTTTCCTCTGCGGGACAGTTTTGTGTGTATCCTCCCTAGAGTTCAAGGAAGATGCAGCAAGATGGTGGAACAAGATTGCTGATCTTCTTTTCTCAATGATAGCCTGCCCAGAAGTCCGGAAAGAAGACTGCTCCCCTCCCTTACCCCCAGGGTAAGGCTGGCGCTAAGAAGGCTCCCAAGGTAGGCAAACTCATACCCTAATCAATACTGACCACCATCAAGAATACTAATAAGTATAATAGAACCCTCTCATCGAGAAGCGCCCCCGCAACTTCGGCATTGGCCAGGACATCCAGCCCAAGCGCAACCTCGGCCGTTTCGTCAAGTGGCCCGAGTATGTCCGTCTGCAGCGCCAGAAGAAGATCTTGAACCTCCGTCTCAAGGTCCCTCCCTCCATTGCTCAGTTCCAGAACACCCTGGACCGCAACACCGCTGCCCAGACCTTCAAGTTCCTCAACAAGTACCGTCCCGAGACCAAGGTCGAGAAGAAGGAGCGTCTCCACGCCGAGGCCACCGCCGTCGCTGAGGGCAAGAAGAAGGAGGATGTCTCCAAGAAGCCCTACAACGTCAAGTACGGTCTTAACCACGTTGTCGGCCTCGTCGAGAACAAGAAGGCTTCCCTTGTCCTGATTGCTCACGACGTTGACCCCATTGAGCTGGTTGTCTTCCTTCCCGCTCTTTGCCGCAAGATGGGTGTCCCTTACGCTATTGTTAAGGGTAAGGCTCGTCTTGGAACTGTTGTTCACAAGAAGGTATGTCAATCCCCACCTAATATCTACACACCTCGATGTATGGTTGGCTAATAAATGAATGGTATAGACCTCCGCTGTCCTCGCTCTCACCGAGGTCCGCTCCGAGGACAAGGCCGAGTTCGCCAAGCTCCTCTCCGCCGTCAAGGAGGGCTACTCCGACAAGTACGAGGAGTCCCGCCGTCACTGGGGTGGTGGTATCATGGGCGCCAAGGCTGTTGCCCGCCAGGAGAAGAAGCGCAAGGCCGTTGAGGGTGCCATCCGTGTCTAAAAAGCTAGCTAGCCTAACCAGCGAGCTACTAACAACACCGACGGGATAAAAAAAAAATCTTATACCATCAACGAAACTTCTAATGACCCTCTTCTTCATCCTATCCTATTTTCCTATACTCTTCATGTACACGTTGCAGATACCCATGAATGCTATTTCAGACATCATCAACAACCACAGCTCCGGTTTTGTTATCTTTTTTTGTGTGTGTGTGAACTTTGTAGGAAGTTGTTTTGGGAGTTTGAGCATTCATGTGACGTCTGCAATATGTACATCTTAGTTGTAGAACGAAGTAAGTCGTAAAGTCTTTAGATCGCTAGCTTGTGTGTACTAGTGGGTAGCAAGAAACCCTTGAAAATTTGTCTAGGCTGTGATCTAGCCCTTCGACCCGGCCCCACAAATTAACTGCCGATGCAGTGCAAGCCAACCATACCGGTAGAGCAAACAAGTCATGACCCGTACAATACAACAACACATTATAACATGGTACAGAAAGGTTTGGTTGTCTATACATCAATCGAATCATGTAATCACTCAAGCAAAAACAAGGTATGGCAATGGTATGGTATGATGGTATGGAGCAAAACATAAACAAGAAAAACACAATCAAATCAATGCACCCAGATGCCCCCCTTGAACCCATTTGTTTCCCAGTCCAGGCAAGAGAATGTCCGCGCACACCCCAATGTAATAAAACGTAAAAGCAATCCGAACTAGAGTGTATAGATGGTGGTAGTGGAAGAAGGATATTGACCGAAAGACCCGCCCAATGAGAAGATAAAAGAGACAATGAAGCTAACTCAGCGAAATGAGAACGAAGAACACTTCCGGGGAACAGGTAAGTGTAAAAGGAGGTGGAGAGTAGTCGTGTCATTCATTCATTCATCAGCGTTGAGAGGGTGGTCGTGTAAGCCCTTGCCTTGCCTGTTGCATTACCAAGTCAGCAAATGTTTCGCCAGGAACAGATCAGGGAACCAGGTCATCGTTGATCCATACCTTCATTTGTTCGATTCTTGCCTTGAGTTGGCTGGTTACTTCCGCAGCTCTCTTCCAGCTCTCCGCTGGCTCGGCACTCCTGGCGGGTTGTTCTTCGCCAGAAGCACTGCCCGAGCCCAGTCCTGATGACCGAGTCGGACTTCCCAAGCCAGAGTAGCCGGTACCCAAGCTAGGACTGAGCTTGCGCCGACCAAGTCCTGCATCTCTAGCGCTGAGTCCCGAGGATTCCAGGCCATTGTTCTCCTTCTCCTCACTCGGGCTAGCCGAAGCATAGGAGCGCGGCCGTGAGCTCTCGAATCGCGAGCCCATGAGACCAGCCCGTGACATCGGTGCACGGCCATCTTCTTGGTATACGGAGCCTGATTCGGACATAGGCATACCAATATTCTCCGGTAGGGTGTTGGGAGGGCTGATGGCACTAGCACGAAGAGCTCTTGCGAGCTCACGCTTCAGGCGCTCAATTTCCCGCTGCTGCTTTTGTACAGTCTGCTCCGCTGACTCTGCATCGCTTCGTGCGCGAACCAGTTGGGTTTCCTTGGCCTTGATACTCAGGACATCCCTTGTGTGGTCTTCAATTAGCTGCGCGTTCTGGTCTTGAAGCTCCATCACTTGCGAGTTCAGCTTGGTCCTCTCCGACCTCAGGTCCTCAACCATACGCATGAACCGCTCCTTCTCCGCACGTAGCTCATCCAACTCAGCTCGTTCCAGGGCCGAGATTCCGCTGAATTGAGGAGCTGCAGGAGCGGGCGCAGGCTCGCTGGGAGCCGCTGGTTTCGCAATCGGTCGGCCTGCAAGTCCTCTTCCCAGCCCAAATTTGGGAGGTGCCGGTGCAGGCGGCTGCTCCTCCGTGGGAGGTGAGACAACCCGCCGCTGGGGAGATGCAATTCCTCCAGGGCCACCGAGCCTCTTCTTGAGACCGCCAGGAGCCGGCAGACCACCAGGTTTGGCGGGCCCTCCAAGCTTAGAAGGAACGGACCTTGCGATCTTGGGTGACGGAGCAGCTACGGGTTCCTCGACAGGAGGCGCGGCAGCAGCCGGCCTCTTGGCTCCCAGTGCAGGCTTCTTCGCCACGACCTTCTTTCCGGGGGCAGGTTTCGGCGGTGCCACGATCGGCTTAGGTCTATCCTTTGCCTTGACCTCCGCTGTTTCGAAGAATTCCTTGATTTTGGTCTTCCTGATGTCGTCGAGACCGTCCAGATAGGGGTTCATCGCCCGCTCGCCCATGATCTTCATCAAGGTACCGAGAACTTCAGCTCCTCCGGCACGGTTGACCTCGGTAGATTCAGTAAGGAGTTTCGTGCCTGCCTCAGCTATCGACTTGACTTCCGGTTTCGCCGGAACATCTCTGGTTGTACGTAGGCAACGGATCAAGAACTTGAGCGTTTCCTGTTTGACTTGAGGGTTCTTGTGCTTGAGGAATTCGAGAATCTCCTCCAGGCACTCTGACAAGCTAGTCGCGATGAAGACTGCATCCAAAGCTTGACCTAGGGCATCCGCAACACTCTGCTTCTTTTCTTTCAAGCGCTCCAGCATGGGCGACATGATGGTAGGCCGATACTTGACGAATCCACTGCGAATTCCCTTGGCAAGAAGTTCAATACAGTTGGCGGCGACGGTTACCACGGCGATGTTTGCATCCTTCATTGATTTAGCCAACATACGAATAACGTCATCGAACGGTCCATCCTTGATCCGGGGAACATTCAAGACAGTATGCAGAGCGTCCAAGGCCTCTTTCCTATCCTTCCACTTCGAAGAAGAAAGCTGCTCCTGGAAGTTTCCTGGGATCTTGGAGAAGACATCAACGGGCTCGGCCAGGTCGAAAGCATCGACCTCTCCTTCATCTTCCTCTGCCGGGTATTCCTCGCCTCCTTCAAACTCATCGTCATCACCCTCTGGCGCGGCGCTGGCTGCGGCCATGGCATCTTGCTGTGCCCTCGTGAACCTCTCCTGCTTGGGCGCCGGCTCTTGCTTGACATTTTCAAACAGCTTCTCCAAATCCTGTTGCTGTACGGGCTTGAGTTCGTTCCAGAAAAGCGGTTTGATGGCTTCCTTCAGCCAGCGGTAGAGTTCCACAGTGAGGTTCTGCGCTTCCGCACGGACGTTCTTGTCAGCATGACCGAAAACCTTTGGCAAGGCCTTCAACACAGGTTTGGGGTCAACAATCTTGCAACCGAAGTTGTGATAAATTGCTCTCAGTCCTGCCAGCGCAGCGGCAATAACCTTGGGAACTTTGTGTGACAGAGCGGGGAGCATTTCTTCGATGACGGGGTCCGATTTATCCAGCTCAACACATAATAACAGGGCTTCGATCGCATTCGTTTTGGCAGCGGGTCGCGTGGATGGGAGACCCTTTTCACATATCGGGAAGACGGTAGTTGCCCGGGTCCTTCATCACACATGTTAGCCATCAACCACCGTTAATTAGTCAAACAGCATCAATTTTCCGTCAAACATACCTTGTACAAGCCTGAACACCACCGAATTTCAAGAATGCGCAATAAGATCCAAGACCTTCTTGTTGAGCCGCAACATTGGAGTCTGCCACAGCCCCTTTCCACAAGCCGGGATCTTGTATGAATGGCGTGAAAACGGGATCCGACTCATCAGGCGACTTCTCGAATTGTTGTTTCGCATCCTCATATCCATTCTTGCGGGCTTTCCAGTTCTAATCCAAGAGCATATACATGTCAGTATTCAGCAATATAAAAACAACCCCGCGAACCCGAAACCTGAGAAACGGGAGCAAAACAGCGACAAACTAACCTTGTGCGAGAACCGATCCGTCAATGGCAAGGAAGAGAAATCCTCCTCCTCGGCCATATTGAAAATTTAAGAATAAGTCTGTAAAATGGCAATCAGTTAGCATCGAAATTCGATTTGGTTAATTCGCAAGCGTGCAGCAGTCCAATCACTGAAGTGGCTCATAACTTGAAAGCCCAAATAGCGACGGACCCTTATCGCTAACAACTGAAATAAAGCACACACACCTTTGGGTTTATTCGTAGTAGCGTATATTCCGATCGCAGATCTCGTGCACGGGCGGCGGCGGCGGCGGAAAGTTGACTGACAGAAAGGTTGGTTCTGATTGAGAGGGGCTTTTTGCTTCGGGTTAGGTTCGCCGGATGAATAAAGTCACTAGTTTCGACAAAAGGATGGGGTGTCGAAAAAAGGGGGGTAGGAGCGCGCGACGTCAGGGGAGGGGGGAAGAAAGAAGAAAAAGGTTTGATGGAGGCGGAAGTGGGGGGAGAAATTGATGAAGTCAACAAGAAAGTTGAGAGAGGAGAGAGAGAAAAGGGAAGCTGGAAAGTAAACAACGGATCAAGAGTCGCTGGGGTGACTTTCGCGACCCAATGGAAAAGGCTTGGCTTGGCGGCGAACCAACTTTCGAGACTGACTGCCCCTTCAGGTACCAATTTGGGTGGGGGGTTTATATAGATATTGGGAGGGTATGTAGTAGTAAGTATATGGAAGATAGTTTATATATTATGGATGTTTGAGTTTGGTGAATGCTGGTTCTTTCCATGTTGTAGTTTTGGCTGTTTCACTGTTCGTGGAGGTTCATGTCTCCTGTGATGTAGGAGTACTTGGGAGTACATCTGCCGGCATATATTTACTGTGTGGAGGTGAGGTCACTTTATGTCATTTTGACAGACATGTTCCGGATACCAGTATTTATTACATATTGTAATTACTTATCAAAGTAACCAGTAAACCATTATACTCCAGAATATTATACATTCGAGTCTATACTCAACCCCGCAAGTAAAGTGATAGTCACGTGATTCTTATTCAGAAGGTATATGCATTTCACCTGGATTATTCCTTCTATATCGTGAAAGAAAATGCCATTGCCTAGTTATTTTCTGCTTCTTCAATAGCCTGCATGTATGTTGCACGAGCCAGTAGTCTAGACTAAATGAGGTCGGATGTCGCTGTATATCGTGCAGTGGGAACTACCGAGTATTGTACTACTAATAAGATTGCTGTGTATTCCCCGGTAG